AGCATTGTGGCCAGCAACGTTATAAACGTTTGATAGCCTGGCCGATCTAGGTAATCCAGGTAACTTTGTTCCGATTGTATTTCAATGCACGAGAAAAACGTAGGGACAAGCACAATGATGAAGCCACCTTATTGCTATTCATTGAAATTAGTGACGTTTCTATCCAACAGTTTTGACAAAATATTCTATTCTATTCAGCCCTTCTGTTGTTCTATTCTATTCTGCGCGTCCTTGTTTGGAACTGATCTTTTTTCACTTGGAACAGAACAGTTTGACTGGAATAGAAACATCACTAATTGAAATAGCTGCAGCAAAATGAACCTAACACGCGATCGAAATAAGATGAAAATCGTTTAAAATGGTTAATTGTGTTGAAATGGATCTTGGAATGACTTGAAGTTGACGTTTCCTTTCGTTTCAATTGTGTTCATTCGAAATCTATTGAAATACTGATGTGTATACGCTCTGTATATGTATATAAATTCAAGCAACAATGAGATTTTGGTTGAATTTTTTCGCATTATTTATTCAACTTTTTGATTCTCAAATCACTTTATATGATAAACAGTTGAATATTTAAAAGCTCGTTTGACGTATCAGCATCTGCATCAACCGTCAATCATTACTGCATCTGTCCCAACTCGTCATTTATGGTTTTGCTGTTTGAATTCAACGAACATTCTCCCCATATACTAGCTCCTCCTATGTTAACTCCTCGATATACCGCCTCTTTTCGGAATATCGGTATGTATATAGAATTATCCTTCGTTGATATTCATTCATTGCTAATACATGATTCCGAACTGACTCAAAACCCATCTGTTGAACATATTTTAGAACGAACACCCGTTGTGATCGCATAAATCTGCCATTTGTATCCTTTCAAGCAGCATCTTCTCGGCGATTAGTTTGCCTCGAAGAGCACTTCGTATTACATTCAGTTTCGAACCGCCGTTTTAACTGACTTCAGCAAGCAGTGATGAATGATTAGCATTAGGATTGCGTGAAAAATCAACTTTCTAATTCGTTATTGATGATGATTCTGTGATTTATTCACTCCACGATTGTTCTTCTCAACTGTCTAATTCCGTACATGTGACGCCAGGAATATCAAGTGAACCATTTTTGATATAATCAAATAGGCTTCCTGGTCCTCGATGCCAAAATTTTTGCGTACAGTCAATCGCAACAATGTAATTATTTGCTCTCTTGCAAAGAATCGCTCCGTTCTACTTGTATACTAAATTACAACGTCTCTCCTGCAGTAATCACCCAAGCCATTTACGAGATTACCTCATTCACATCTTGTCGATTCAGAATTATTATTCAGAATTTGCACAGTATCCTCTATTGATTCGTTAGATGTTGACCTTATTGAGAATATCCACGGTGATATGTTAAAGAAGTGTATTGTTGCGTATCAGTAAACATCTTTCGAAATGGTCAGTCGTTTTTCAGGTGGAATAACTACACAAGTCGTCGTCATATTGCAAGCAATGCGGAAGGCAACAATTTTGTTCCTGCTTATCGTTGTGATCAGTTCGGCATTTGCACAAATGACTTTCACAGATAACTGGAAGAAACGGGGAGCATTTGTGCCGAGTATCTATACAGGGTGGCAACATAACAAAGACGGGTATTTTTCATTCATAAAAACATTTTACGTTCTCCTTCCACTTTTTGTGAGTTTGCAAGTATCAGGAATCAAAACCTAATTATGTTTTCTAGTAGAAATTTACTGTTACTGTTAAATCAGCTATAGTAGGCACCAAAGCATCCTTCAGTGCGATCGCAATCTCAATGAGCTCGTTCCTTAATCATCAAAATATTTTTTCCTCGGGGTTTAAAAACCTTAGCGGAATCTCTGAAGTTACCTTGTATTCTGTTTAAAAAAGGCTTTCTCAATCTGCATAACTCATTCTTCTTTATCGAGCGTTTTAAGGAAATGGACACCGTACTGCTTCTGATTATGGAATGATTTATTTATAAAATTTTGGTTCATTAATTTCTGCATGATTCCAACATGCAAGTGGCATTACGGAAACATACAGAGTATCGCCTGGAGAGCATGATTACTGTCATCGCTTGATGAACGTTTCATTCGATGGAAAAAATCGAAAGAATTATAAAAAAAGCACAATTTGCAGACTTGAAGAGATTCGTGCAAGTCAAGGGTTCACACCAGCAAAACTCGGTAGGACGTGTTCATCAGATTTATTCACGTCCGAACTCGGCCAACTTAAACAATTGCAACGGCGGCAAGAAGAAATTATTTCACTTCTCAGCAGATGCATTCAGTGATCATAATGAAATGTTTTCTTGTTGCAGTCTGATAAATGCTACATCGTGAAATAACTTTATGTTCAGTTGGAATATGTTGTGGTCATTTGAAACATCTTAGTCAAATATTTACATTCCATCGTTGGAATGCAGAGTGGTCATTTGAAATTACGATCAATTGCTTTTGTGTATGTATCTTTTGGAATTCACACAATTTAATTCCCATAATGACACGATATTGAACAGTTCTCATAGGCACAACTCTACTTTCATGCGCGATAAACACAGCTGAATACAAGTTCAGACTGCTGGATGATAGAAAATACTTATTTCGCAATTATTCATCGTGCGCAGTTCTATCCTCAACGGTAATGTCCCTCGATACGTACATTTGTCACTTGCATGCTGGAGGTAACTAAAACCTGTGTTTGTGCGCTTTTTCATTTTCAAGATAATGTTTTCGAATTTAAACTTGTGACAATGAACAACTTTGCTACAGTCAACATTTCATTATAAAAATTTTGATGATCCAGTAGTACCTACACAGTTCTATGGATCCGAAGAATCTTTGTTTATTCCTAGAACATCACCGTCTTGTACAGACATAAGTAATTTCTATATACCATCTCCCCTATTCATCTTGATATTTTTGAGTGCGCAAAATAATGCGTTTGTTGAACGAATAAAACTTTATAAGTATCGTTCATTTGAACATCAAACACTTCCACGATGTTTTATTTACCGACAATCATCTCGTTTTACTGAACCCTTCAAGTTGGCACCGTTCGGGCACTTCAAACAGTATACTTTGCGCATAATTTTACATCAACTATGAAACAATTAAATGAATTCAAAATTCTAAACAAACGTCAGTTCATACAATCGAGAGGAATTGATTTGTGATTGGTTAAGAAACGCATTGATTTACATGAGCTCTTTCATACTAATTCTATGAAATCTCATTTAGTATGATTAGTTGGATTACGACCAAGTTGAACACGTTCGTGTTTTGCTGGTTGCTGCTGATGAAATAAACTGAAAATTCCAGTGAAGTTTTCCCAAGTGAGAGGAGATCGCTAAAATCTCCTTGCTGCAACCTCACAATCATTAACGCTAGTTACATTTGTTTGGGTAAACAAAGATGTGTGAACACAAAAACACAACAAACCATCTGAAGGCGACGATAAAAATATGAGGGGTTACAGAAATATAGATTCCTTGCTACTCAACATACAAAGGTCAACAGTTTTCCAATGCAGTGGGTTCAACAACCGTGCCTCGAAACTGCTCTTAATGAGTTGGAGTTTTAGGAACGTTGCCTATCAGGAGAAACTACATACCTATACATTTGTGCACTGTTAGTGGACACCACTACAAGATCGATGCTGGAATTTAATGGGCTGATGAGAACGAATAATGAATGATACATTCAAATACAATATAATCATTAGGGGGAAATGATTGCATTTAACACCAGAGTGAATCAAAAAAGATAAATGAATACATAATATGAGATTGAAATAGACAAATTGTTTTATAATACAATCACATAAATGAAGTATTTTGAACGATTGAATAACGTTTCCATGAATATGAAAATTCCAAATTCACCTTCCTCGTTCCGTCGATTTGTTTCAAGGAGCTTAAAGCCATAGGAGAGTTACGATTTGCTGTGTGGACTAACCCACTTGTAAGTACCCGTGAAAACGAAGCCCTTATTCTTCATCAGCTCATCTGCTTCTCGTGGACCACGACTGAAACTCATATCACGGTTTAAAGCTCACATTAAAAACCTCACAACTGTTACAAAAAATACTCACATAACTCACAAACGCTCATAAACTGAAGCTATTCTTTCATAAAAAAACTCGAAAATATAATTACAAGGACGAATGAACGAAGACAATTGTTATTTGCGATCATATCAGCGAACCAGTTTTCACTTCGCTTGAAATTGTTCATTTTAATTTATTGTCACTTGAAGCGTAGCCGAATTGAATAAAAACAAGAATGAAACGATCAAATATTGATTTTCCACGTTGTAAATGCTCGTGAAAGCACCAAATACATTTCTCTGAATCCAAACCTTCCGAAAACATAATTGACTGGCTTGATTTTCTCAGTTTCGATCTGATTCAACAGCGGTGTGAATATACGCCATGAATAATCTAATTCATCCGTACGAACGAAGTTGATTTGGGATCCCATGATCACTTCGAGGAATAATCGCTCGTACGCGTCCGGTAAACGAATATCCTGAAATTCATCTGAACAGATGAAGGCTTGAGCATTTGAAGTCTGTTTGACTCAGCCAAACAACTGATCAAAAGATGATCGATGAGAAAATGTAGCTTGATCAAGAGGTCAAATTTTCTTGAACCAACCAAATTCCCAATCAAGGCAAATAAATGTAACAGACCTTATATCTTGCATTGTAGCTGAGATCCAATTCAGTTTCCTCAACAGCAAATCCCATTCCTGGCTTCTTAGTCATCAGCTTTATGTAGACGGCCTCATTGGGCTGTACTCGCATCACCAGCTCAGTCCGCTTCAGCTTGCCATCCGGATAAATGTCACCCGGTACTTCTTTGTATTGAATCCTTACTTCAGTTTTTCTCTCATTCAACGCTGCAAATACGAAAGTCACATTATGGGATAGTCTCATTTTGGAACTGCTAATGAATTTCAGAATTTTTAAACTGTTTGCAGAAGGCGATGATATTTTGGAAGAGTACCAAAATAATACCTTCCAGCCAAATGAATCAATCCTCAACTAATCTGATTCATTTGCAAACAGTAATATGATTTCTTTCATGTTTCTCAAAATCTCAATATATGTGAACCAGAAGTACACTGGAAGTGAATGAAATGACTGATCAGAGTATAAAGCTGACCTTTGCCACATCTCAAGAAGAATGGTACACCATCCCAGCGTTCGTTATTTATCCTCAAAACGGCTAGGGCGTAGGTCGGTGTTATGGAATCTTTTGGTACGGATTCATCGTCCAAATACCCGAACTGAGAGTCGCCTTCTGGAATTCGATGGCATCAAAAAGTGATAGGAAAATTGCAAATCAATCCAAACAATAGCATGCAATGATCCCAAGCACTCCTAAAATTACTCAAACCGGACAGCTTTTGCCGGAAATAAGCAAAGAAAATAACACAGCTACAGTGTTTAAATGATACCAATTGAGTTGGGATCCTTGACATACTGACCAAGAACGACGTCCTCTAACCGAAGGGATTTGATTGACTTGAGTACTTTCACCTTAAAATATGATTCAATGGGAGACAATAATCACACAACCATAATCAGATAAGGTCAAGATATCATTTCGAATACCATGTGGATGAAAAACTTCAAAAGTTCCAATAAAAAGCTGGATGCACTGAATAAATAGTCAGTCACCTTCTCATCTCGAATATCTTCAGCGCTCAAACTGGCCGGTTTTTCCATAGCAACCAATGTTAGGATTTGCATCAGATGGTTCTGCATAACGTCGCTGAACTGATTGTTTATAACCGAGAAGATGCAAATGTGAATACAAGATGCATAGACGCATATAAAATATATGAATAAAAATATCACTACAATGGTGACCTTAAACTAAAACAAAGAGACAACAATATGATTATGAGGTCAACCGAAATCAACAAGTCACAGACTTGTCGACTTCGATTCGCATTATGAGCTCAAGAAATCACATTATTCGAAAAATGAAACTGCTCTAATATTCCGACAGTGCTAATATCAGCGATAAACACACAGATGAGTGAAATCACCGTATAATGCCGGATTTATCGAAGTAACCCGCACGTCCTTGTGTACCAATGTCTTCCTTGAATGAAATCACCACTGATGCGATGTTATCGCGATTCCACGATGGATTAAATATACGATTGCCAAATCTGCACTTTGATAAAATGAATACGGAAGAGTTTCGAAAAAAAAAGATACATGACAATAAAGAAAATCCGATAGAAAGCTACAATTATAGGATCATTTTAGCTCACAATGATGAAAGCAGTTTCAGCTTTGAACAAATTCTGCATCTTAAGGAAAAGCTCACCTCAGCACCATCAGATTCTGCACCATTTCTTTACCAAGATAATGATCAATGCGATAAATCTGATCCTCTCTGAACAACTTCGCCAGATGAGATGATAGTTCGGCCGATGATTCAGTGTCACACCCAAATGGTTTCTCGATTACCACACGAGTCCAGGAATTCCTAAAAGTTGTTTCGTTAATCAGGTTCGAGTTTACAACTGTTCATTGATTTAGCTGCAAAGGACAAAACGAACCCATCATCCATGCAGTGTTCCTTCAGCTGGGTTGTTACATCCTGGAATACCGAAGGTGGTAAGGCCAAGTAGAACATACGATTGACAGGTGCTAAAAGCTTGTGAATGAAGAAAGTAGCTGACCAAACCCTTGATCATGATCAAAGAATCGATACCATGAGGGTTAATGAATGTTTTCTAAATACCGTTCAACTCTTCTGAACTTCGATATATTATAGAAAAACTGGTCATAAAGAAATCAGAAGTAATAGATCTAGGAGTCAAGACACTAGCCTTTGTTGCTCTGCTGTTGTATATCATCGATGAGTGCTCTCAATTCAATGAATCCTTCTGGACGATCATATTTACCAACAATATATGTGCACTGCTTCATGAACTGCTCAAACTTTTGCTCTTCGCCTGCGCGAACCTAATTCAAAACACAGAATTATGAAGAACATATTTGAAATGTACTCTAAAAAACGGTGCTATGAAACTTAATAAACTGCAAAAACTACAAACTGCTAATAATAAAGAATGATTCAAATTACGACCAGATGTAGTAAATCTTGTTAAGAGGTTCAGCCTTCTTACCTTGCAATATTTCTCGAAATGCGAACGCAGCTCCTCGACCGTAAGATTGGATCGTGCATAACCAATAAATGAAATATTAGATGGAAGAAGATTATCTCGATACAACCACCACAGAGTTGGATAAATCTTCTTCTTTGCCAGATCACCCTTTGAAACAAATGAACATTAAGACAACTTTCTGATTTCTCATCACTGAATACTCACAACAATGCAATATCAATGCGATACACGTTAGTCAAGCAGAAAAAAATAAATTCAATTCTCATTATATTGTCAGCTCATGCTTGATCAGAACAACCTGACCGATTGTTTGGATTCGTGGGGGTGATTCACTTCAAGAAATACTCATAGAACATGAAATACATTAATGTTTCAACTGGTAAGATGAAGTATATATGGAACTCACAGATGCACCAAAAACAACGAACACATACGGTTGTGCATCAACACCTTTCATTGATTCTCTTAAATTTTTCACCAATGCAGGACTGAGAGGTGCTGACGTGTAATAGGCACGAACACGAGTTGGATGTTCTTCGTCAGATGACATCTTTGAGTTTTGCGATGATACGCGTACTGGAAAATCAAAAAATTTCTCACTCATTTCAAAGAAATAAATCTGAACAATAACTTTTTGTATGGCTACAATCTGTAGTAGATGATGATAATAGAAATTGGTGAAAAAGAACCTTTCAACGAAAGATCATTGGTTATTATTTGGTGATTCATCTTCCCCTAAAATATTCGATTTCATGAACGATCGTCTAATTAACAACCGAAATAATCGAACGTAAATACGGCGTTTCAATTGAATCTAACAGTTTTAATGACCTTCCACCAATTTTATATCGAAAATTTAGACAACATTTTTGATGAAGTTGTCTATCGGAGAGTCTCAAGTTCTCGTTGGACTTATGTGATAATGCCGTAATTCAGGTGAACTAAAAACAAAAACTACTGCTGGCTGAAAACTAAAAATGTCTTCACATCGTAATGAATCAACAGGTGTTGAAACAAAAAACAGACATTAGGTCCATATTCCCAGCATCTCTTCGTTCTACAATGGGAAATGCGTTGAACCTACATAAATTAAAATCAGAAGCGCACTTCTGCAGTTTTTCATTGATGATTTCAATTATGACACAGATTTGACCCTTTCATATATTTCAATAATTTCTGCACGTTCTATCATAATGATTGTTAACGTCCTTAAATCCTTTCTCAAGCAGTGAACAATATGACAATTTTTACTGAAAATGGAAGCCAACAATATCCGCCTATATTTTCGTTACTCAAAAACTGCTCATGAAATCAAATTATGTGGAAAGGGATGGACCCAAATGAATGTCCAACCAAAGTGTTAGAACCAGTTAACCGAAATGGCACATGTAAAACAGTTCCACATTGCTCATTCCCATATAATTCCTTCGGTTCTTGGTTCAAATCACAAACGTGGAATATTAAAACAAATAAAAAGAAATGAAACTACTTACGATTGACAAATTTCTTCGGTTTTGCTTTTCCGTCAAACTTCTTGAGACACAGCGAATTCAACGATTCCTCGTTGACTGATGTCAGAGATGTCGAAAAACTGTAAGATCAAAACTCGTTATTCAAATAAGCATACACCCAATTTTGATGATCAAACAGCAAAATATCAACAATCACCACATAGCGGCGTACACAACAGAAGTTGTGCTATGAGAATAATGACTGCTCAACAAATACTTCTACTCGATGAGAGTGATCTTAATAACCTGCCAAAGTGAACAATCACTTCGTACACTTCTCAGCGAGAGCATTCGTTAAAACACGGCCATAATAAGAGAAAAAAGACATGGAAGAGTGTCATTGCCAAATTAATCGCCAAAGTTAGACGTTCGTGGAGCCACATGATTGTTTCGTTATGTGCGCGAAAAAAAGGTTCGAAAAATGTGGTATTAATGATAAGAAAGAGACAAAAACTAGTAACTGCTTATTAAATAAGTAAACGAGGGGAACACAAACATTTAAACCATCCAAAAAACTGTGTAGAACAATTGTTCACATTACCTTAACCAGAAATGGCTTGGATAAGCACACTGACACCTAATATTGTCACTATTAGTGTGAAAAATATTACCCAAAAAAAGAAAACAAAAAACCATGCTTCAAAAGCTGGTAGAGGAACAAACTTCAGAGACAAATTAATAACAGAAGGAATTGAACCCATAGTAAATTCTGATACAATTCTTGAAACACTGCAGTTTGGTCAATTCCTTAGATCAGGGTTTCTCAATCGAGGGTGCTCGACCCCCAAAGGGTGCGAGATGAGTCGCACCGTGATTGCACATTGAATAATTTCATAATGCAGTGCTTTAAGAATTGTCTGCCGATCTTGAACTCAGCTCGTGAATAAATCTCTTCGGATCTCCACAACTGTTCTGTTTAGTTCGAGATTCGAAATCGAAATTATATTTTTCTACTTTTAGGATTATAATTTTGAAATTGAAGCACCGCAAAATTTGCAAATAAAGTTGAATATTTCGAATCCAGAACGAAAGATGGGCGAAATCTCCTTCAACCTGCAGATTTTCAATCTGAAACGAGAGGAATATATGAGTAAACTTTAGGACTTTTCGCAATGTGCCCAATCATAAATAGGAATGATCCTTAGCCTGAATTCTACGATAAACAGCAGTCGGAGACTTCGAAGAAGCCTCACCTTGCGCTTACTTGCAAACTTCATGTGTGGCTCAACTTAAACCCCGTTGTGAGCCTCAGTCCATCGTTCAGCCTAAGCCCAAAAATAAGCCCCAGACTGTATTTCGTCATCAACCTGGACATGCCATAAGTCTGCATCTAAACACGATATGAATTTCAAACTGAACTCTATAATATCCTCTGCTCATCGTCAGTGCAAAAAGTACGCCCTCCTCCTCTTCCTCCCTGAGGAGGGAAGAAATGGAAAAGGAAAGGAAAGGAGGGGAGGGAAAAGGAAGAAGATAAACGTAGAAACAGGTCCACAAAATTCAGCTATTTTTTGGACTAGACCATCTTGTGCCCCATCCCTTTGGAAAAAATTCCGACAGCGCCACAGCTAAGGATGGGGCAAACCTTGAATTTGGTTGAACGAACAACCTCTGGCACACTGTGGTAAGGAGTGTGTTAACATTTACAGATCACCAAAGTAATAAAAGACAATGTAATACGTAAAGTAAACATAAATAGAAGAGATGTTGATAAATGTATGTGATAATGAATTTGCATCTGAAACGTTCAAATGAGTAACGTATAATATTTCGTTAACAAACGACTCTCTCACCTCTATGTTAGAGTCGCCTACACTCAAATACAACAGGATGAAATCAGTTAAGAATTTTGCACTTTGCTCTCTGTTTTCATCAAGTTATCAACTGAACATATTCCATATTCGAATATGTAAGAAGGACGGTGTTCAATCGCGAAAACATCAGTTAATATGTAAGCAGAGGGTGTCAATAAAATTTCATACAGTGCCACGTTAGCAGAAGAGTGTTTAAAACATTAAATAAACGGAACCAAAAAAATTTTATGAATGAACAAAATCACTTGCAATCAGTGATCCTCAAACTGGTTTTTGAAATGGAACCATTATTGTTTGCATTGAAATGAAGAGAAATTGACCTCGACGTTTCTTATTCAAAATTTTTATCGCATTCGTGAATCGTGCTCTGTTCCTATTGTCCGCACAATCACTACTGTTATCATCACGATCAATAGAATTATTATCAATATCATCTATCTGGAATCGACATCCCCATCAGTGCACACGGTCATGTCGTAAGGAACCTCCCAATTTCTTTGAATAATGAGACTCATCATGCCAAATATTCGAGTTTCATTTTACCTGCTCGGATTGCTAGATGATGCCATGGTTAAAGGTGGAATTGTGTAATACAGTTAGAGTTGAATTACTGAATGGTATTCTTGATGATGACTGCTGAATAAAATAGTGATATAAACAAACAATGAAATATAGATGTTGCTTCCGATAGTTCAAGAATCGCGATCACAGAACGCGCTGAAAAGACAAAATTCAACTCGTGAAATCAAACACGATTCTATGCGCTGCTTTAAAGAACAGAACTGTGCAAAGCGTTGAACAATCGGTGAATTTTGTTTGCATTATCACAGAAATTGATAATTCAATTATTAGCTGACGTATTATTCCAATCTTGTACTTTCTTATTCGGTACTTACGTGATCCTTACAAATAGACAACATAAAACCTTTCGATGTTATTCAAATTCGCAGTGTGCTAATATCTTGCAAGGAATCTTGGCATGCCTATATTTTCCGAAGTGAGAATCAGCAACAACTTTGTCATCGATGTTCCCACTATTTTGAATATGTGTTATGACAAGTGAATGTCTAGGTGATTCCACAACGATTCCAAATTACTGCTTGAGAGGAGTGATCATAACGAGGTTGACCGATAGCAAATAACATTGCACTTATCATGCATAGTAATAATTGTCCATTTAGATTGTTAGAGGAGCACTATGTTTGTGGGTGAGTATTATCAAGGGATTAGAGCCGAGATGTTCGAACGGAAATTTTGCTTGAAAGTGAACGAAATATAAACGTGAACACTCGTTGCTATGGGTAACAAAATAAGGAGGCAATCATAGCTTATAACTCAATATTACTGTGAATTTTCACATGAAAATCAGTGACAGAGTTACTAATCAAATCTTAATAATATCAGCAGCTGGTCAATGATCACTGATAATAATATGGGGTCCTTAATCAACGACTGGGACGCAGAACATGCCACAAACCTCATGTCATCCGCGTGATGTGCAAGTTTGTGAGGACGCTAAAATTCAGATGAGTAACAGAAAGCATCTCTACTTTTGTACTGACGAAAATTTCAGTCAAAATGAACACATGAAAAATGAAGTTGTGGCGTCAAAAAGTTGAATGATATTTAATAACAGGTAAGAGTTTAGAATAATGAGGAAGAGCAGGATGAGACGGGCAAAAAGACGTGCCCAGAATGAGAAATGATAGATGAACTACATCGATATTAGAATGTTATCCAGGAGAATTGAAACTAGCTGCTGATCGGCCACCCAAGAGACAGGAAGACGACAATATCAAAAGGGAGGGTCAATGGTGGAAAAGGAAAACGAGAGATAGAAAAATCTGGAGAGCAGACGCTACAATAGAAGGTACGGTGGATCCAAATTATGTGCGAGACAATTTAAATGAACTGAAAAAAATATTTATGCTCTGGTAGTGTTGGTAAATCGTCCGAAAAGCTTCAGAAAGAATAAGAGAAGATGTAGGAAGCGCATAGTTTTACGCACTGGAAAAGTCAGTATTCTCCAACTTCACTTTTGTTTGGACTTTTAAAAAAATTTTTTTGTTTAATTTTTTGTTTAATTTTTTGACAATTTTTTGTTTAATCATCCAATTCACCGGATATACTCTAGTCACTGCTACATCTAAATATCTAGAATATCTTCGCATCTAAATTATTCTGTGCTATTTATATGCCTCTAGTTAAGATAAAAGTAAAAATGAATGCGGTGAAATTAAATGTGAAAACAGTATTGCGTGGAACGCATTTAATCCAGAAATTTTTGAAGTCAATTGCATGTAATAAAAAGTGTCTGCGGACTTAAAAATCGAACTGATTGGGAGAATGAATCTAACGATTGATAGAAAGTACGAGCCATTCGACATTATACTGGCACACGACTTGTCAGCTGGTGACGCTGAATGGATTCGTGCTTCGTTGATTAAAAGCGGTTCAACAAGCGAATGATAGCAAATGATTCCAGCTATTAATTTTCATTTAACAACAGTGATACTTGTTCATCAAATGACAAACCGCATTACCAAGTAATCATTAAATAACGCCATCTGAAGTTCAGGCATATCATTTCCTAATAACAAGGAAGGCTCAATGACTGGATGCAATATTTTGTGATGTTTAAAACCATGAATTGTTTAGCATTTCGCACTCCCTGAAAGAATTGCCGTATTACATCAAATTTAAATCACCAAATTCATGATTATTCATTTGAGCGAAAACAATATATGTGAGAAATCGCAAACGAAAAACAATCATATCAATCATTTCATATCATGTCGACGAAACATAAGACGACGATCGCACTATAATAATAATGCACAAAATCAACAAAAAATGAACCCATTCATCAGCAATCAAACAAAATAATGAAAAATCAACATCACAGCTAATGAAAATGCACATTAACGATATTCCAACATGGTGATGAGATCACGTTTGTTCAAGTATCACTCTTCGATTCCTAGGAAAGTGCTTATTAACGAACTCGTGTTCAAATTCATACTCGTCGGTCGTTATGCGCGGATAAGGTACATCAATTTCATAGTGAAATTTTTGAACGAGCTGAAAGCAGCGCTTTTCGGAACAACCAATTGCAGCACGAATACAGGAAAATGCAATGAAAAATCGAATCAAGATCAACAATGAAAGAGATCATCAAATTTTCAGTACTCATGAGATATTTCGTAAAATTCAGTAAATTTCGTAAAAAATCAAATTTTGTGACCAAATAGTCAAACTCACTTCCGGATATTTTTGTCTCACGATTTCAATAGCTATATGTTCGATTTGCTTGGATTCCACATATTCCAGCAGGTACGTGAATGGCTCTTGTCGCAACTGGAATGGACTTTATGTTTCATTTCAATTTTTAATTGCGACGTAGATGACATCATTTACTCATTATCAAGCGACTGAGCGAGTACGCTAGGGTGTTACGCAAGCAGTAGGATCACGTTTATGCACTCACCGCCTCATCGGTGGTTTCAGTGACTATATACTCAAACGTGACATCAGCACCTTACATAAATATGTTTGAGAACAGGTGAAGGAAGGTGAGTTGACAGGTAGCACAAATAATTTATCAATGATAAGCTAGATCTATACCGTTATGAGCACTTTAAAGATATATTTGACGTAAAACATGTTTTATACCTGTGCCCCGCAAATTTTCTTCACCGTCCATCCTTTCGCAATACCGTTTTCGTGATTTTGAGGGTATACTAAAGAATGAAGCAACGAATAGTGGTCGAATAACATCATTACAGCAACTGCATATAGTTGACTTAGCAACGATGCATGATAATCGATGCAACATTAACGCTGATGATAACTCATTTACAAAAGAGGGTTGCAAACTGTTGTGATATGATCAATGTGATCAAATATCAATGGTTGACATGAATTGTGATGTTCGTTGTAATTGATCTTTATGTTTGATCGGTATATAAGCAGCAACTGTATATAAGCAGAGCGTTTTGTAGTAAAATTCATTCCGTGTAAATTTTCATTGTATCGTCTACTAGTTGTTTTTAATAAAGTCTAATACAACTGTGGACTCTACAACACAAACATAAGTCAGAGTTTCGAAACGGAACTTTTGTCATCTGCTAGGTCTCAGTGAGCTTTGCAGTTGCATCTTGAAACCAGCAGATATGGCCGAGACCTAATAAGATGATTTAAATCTCGTCTCGTCTCTATACTGCTACTTAGTTTCGTAGACTTTCCTTGTTGGTTAAATTTCGAGCAATAAATACGTAAATAGATGGCATACATCTTTTACGAATACTTTCAGGTTTGATGGCGTCGTTCGGTAATAGGATATCATCGTCACCATCATCATCTTCACTAATGCCATTACCATCGTCAATTCTGCAACTGAATTACTGTCCGAAATAAAAATGCGCCAAAAACATGAGTTCAAGTGATTCTCAGCTAACACAGCAATTCATTGGTAAGGAGTCGCATGCTGTTCAAATGCATCTCGACTTTTCTGAGCAAGATCATATCAACATTCACTGTAGTGAGCGAGCAGCAGTCGGATCAGATAAAAAGACCTAAACAACAAGGACGACAAATAATCATTCAGTGATACCGAAATTGATTCTGATGTCAAACGATTAATGGGAGTGTTTCCATTCGCCCAATTTTTAAAAAATTGCAGCAGAAACGCTCGATGAACTTACGGCAGTTCAGCATCGTGCATCAGTCTATCGTGGAATTCACGTAAACTTTTTTGACAGTTACTCTGCAAAAGGATGAATTTATGCATTAAACTTCTGGACGCAAGTTATTTTTTGTGACAGAAACTAATATGTAAGATTGAATTAAACATAATGCATCTAATGATTGAAAATGTGCCCAGAAGACAATAATAATTTGGATTGATTAGCTTCATTATCATTATACTGATAAGTACCGTTATTCCCTATTAGACGCGGGAAGATAGATGTCAAAGAAGGAAGCATGTGATACTGGTGATAAGAGAGAAGCAATTTAGGTTGATTAGTATCGTTGATAAATAAACTGTCACCTTTTTAATGAGTTGTAATTGCTAATTAAACAAATGAAGTGTCCGTTATGGATTAACCAGTTGAGGTTTCAAAGATCATTTGGCTTTAAAATATGATATTTTCTTGTTAATTACAAACGAGGTATTGATGCAAAAGATTGTAACAAACTAGGAATACGAAAAAACCCTCTCATCCCCTCTCGCCGCTATCTTATCTTGCCACCAAAAAAAAANAAAAAAAAACGAACCAGCGACTCAAGCGGCTGAAATGTGGATTCTTCACGTGGGTATCCAAGCCACTGCACAAGATACTCATCACGGTTTTGGTAACGATTGAAGCGATACCCGGCGATCCTCTCTACCTCGTATGCTTCCTTGGAATATTCATCAGTGCAACTTTGTTGCAGTAAAGACGAAGAAGAGTTATGCTTATTCATTTCTAGGGAACTCTCGAACAACTTTTGAATCACCTTAATTGAGATAAACAAGTTGTTATTCAAATACCATGATCAAAACTATAAGCTCATCTATTGAGCACTAGCGGGTGACACACCATATTCAATAGGGCGTATCGGACGCAGTAACTGGTTGCCATCAAATAGAGTGCGGCATGAGAGAGGAAAGCGTTATAATTCACTAGTGATGGTAACCGATGGAAGTTTGGTCGCTGAAATCCAAGGAACTGCGGTCGTAATACTGAATTTCTAAATGTGAATTCGGTGAATCCCAAAATGTGAATTCGGTCGGATCCCGATTGCGGAATTTCCAATTTCGGTCTGCATACCGAATCTCGGAGTGTTGAAAAGTCGATTCAATTGGACTCCGGCCGAAACGAAGTTTCGCTGCGATGCCGTCAGTGTAGTTCACGCTTTCAGACTGACTGATGGTGAGCATTTGATGTTGAGTGTTAAGAATTAAGCAGTTGCTTATGTTCTCACCACGAAACAAATATATCTTATCGTTAGAGGAGTGGTTCTCAACCTTTTTTGCGCTCGCAGCCCTTAAAGAATTTTAAACTGCCCTCGGACCTTTCATAGCAGCAGTTAAAATGGAGTGTATACCATTAGAGCACGTTATAGCCTTTTCAAAAATGCGTACGTTACAGTCCCTCGTCGCTTACTCTATTCACACGAGATCCGCTCTTATCTACTAAAAAGCGAAATGCTGCCTCGCATCCCTGGAATGCCATCCGCACCCCTGGTTGGGAAACCCAGCCACATAGGTAAGAAAGTGTACGCTTACGCATCAAAGCAAAGCATCCGGAGCAAAAGTGAAGCAGACGATCAGAACGTTAATAGAAGAAAGGAATAAATATTTCTGCTGGATTAAAAATGAACTGAATGCTCAATGACAGTTTGAAATCGGTTTACACGTCAGCAACAACTGAAGAGATTACATCGCGAGAGTTTCTCTTCATTAATTCAATATTCAAAATTTGGACGAATACATTTATTTACTTAATATCATCAATTAAACAGCACTATAGAGGTTAACATCGTCAAGGTGACCGTACTCTCAGGTTTGTCCAGTAACATATGAATTTTTTTGTATCGTTCGATCCAGCGGAACATCTAGATTCATAAAAAACATGAAATTTGTGCAGCAATTCTGCTTTCAGGAGGAGATCCAAAGCTATAATGGTTGCCATAAGCGAGACTACCGTAGTCCCAGACTTGCCCAGCAACGCATGAAATTCTTCATACCGTTCGATCCAGTGCGACCTATAGATTTAGAAAAACGTAATTTTATCGCGCAGTTCAGCACGGTTGGGGAGATATTGCTATTTCTCAAAAGCTACTTAATTAGCGCGTTCGGTCTCATTCACGCACATTGATCACAATAGATCAGTCAGTACGCTAGTATATAAAATACAGGAGTTGCCATCTTCAAGCAAACCGGACTCCCAAGTTTGCTCCGAAACATGTCAATATCATTGCATCATTCGATCGAGCAAAATTCCTTAGAAAATGAATTTTGTGGCCCAATTCCGCTTCCATGAAGAGATACAGCTATTTTCACAAAGCTATACGGTTGCCATAATCGAGCCTACCGTACTCTCAGCTCTGCCCGGCAGCACATGAATTTTTTAATGCCATTCGGCCCAGCAGAACCTCCGGTTTCACAGTATTATATAATTTACACAGCAATTTGGGTTACTTGAGAAGATTTAAGTATTCTCTTAATATTATCCCACGACAATGCGGGTGGCACATTCAAGTCTGACGTCTTCTCAAGTTTGCCCAGTAACATATGAATTTTTTTTTGCTTCATTTGATCCAGGTGGATCTCTCCATTCAGAAAAACATATATTTTGCCGAGCGGTTTTGCTCAGCTGAGGAGATATAGCAATTTTCTTACATCTATTTCAATTAGCGTATTCGCGCTCATCATTCATGTACGTTGATCACTATAGAGAAATCAATA